TACATACGAGGTTGATGCATTTGTGCATGTCGTACTAAGCAAGGTATAAAAACAGTTGCTTTATGAGGAATTAGTTCGTACCATTGAATATTTGATGCAATAGACAAGGTGTCGCAGAAACCGATGTTGCTATAACCAAGTTTTACTGTATATATATATATAAATAGATGAGGCATTTCCCAATATCTTGTGTTTGCTTAAAGAAACAATATTTGGAAATAGGTTCCATTTCTATCATAAGGTAACCATATGAAGCTTACCCTGTTGGGTTCATTTTATGGACTTTGCAGAACAGGTTTCATGCTTTTACTTGAAACCAGAATTGGCCAGCTTCTGAAAATTTGTTTCTTTGCTGAAAACAGATTCAAATATGTATATAAATTTAATTTTGTTCTCTGAATTAGATTTGTCTCTTTTTGGTACTAATTTAGATCAAGTATGTAGAATTTATGAGACTCTTTGGCAGTGGTTATGAAGATTAATGTCTTCTAGGATACTGTGTAGTCCACTGAAAGTCAGCTGATGTTTCGGAAGAACATGCTGCCTCCACCTTCAGGGTCAAAGAACCAGAGCTTGCTCTCTGCTTCCTTCTGGTTTCTTGCTTATTCTCTGACTCCAAAGAAGGGCGACATGTTCCTCTGAAATGTCAGTTGACTTTCAGTGGACTACGTAGTGACATATCCCACAATACAGAACTGTTGTTCTAGCCCAAGTTCACAAAGTTACAGTATGAAATTTTAGACCAAGTGTTTTAGAAGCTCTTCACATTGACTGAGATGCGCTGTAATTATATTTTTATTTTTAAATTTATTACTGTTGTCATGAATACACAGACCGCCTCTGTGGTCTAGTGGTCAGTGTTCCTGTCTACAGATCCCCTGCCAGATTTTCTGAGAAGTGGTGGCTCTGGAACGGGGCCCACTCAACCTCATGAGGATTGTTGAGGAGCTATTTCAAGGCAAAAGCTGCTCCGATCTAGAAACCCGACATTAACGGCCATGGGGAGCCGTTGTGCTGACCACATGACTCCCTCTATCTGCTAAAGTTGGCACTAACTTTGCTGACAAGTGGTGGTCACTTGGTCGGTGTAGTTTACTTATGGACTAGAGGCCATGGATTTTTTTTTTTTGGCCATGCGGGACCGCCTCTGTGGCCTAGTGGTCAGAGTTCCTCGCTACAGATCCAGAAGCCTGGGTTCGATTCCCTGTGCTACCAGGTTTTCTGAAAAGTAGTGGGTCTGGAATGGGGTCCACTCAGCCTCGTGAGGATAATTGATGAGCTATTTTAAGGAAATAGCGGCTCTGGTCTAGAAAACCGAAATTAACAGCCGTGGGGATTCATTGCACTGACCACACAACACACTCTATCTGCTAAAGTTGGCACTAACTTCGCCGACAAGCGGCGGTCACTCAGTTGGTATAGTTTGCCTGCAGACTAAAGTCACGGAGTTTGTTTGTTTTTTGTTTGTTATCATGCAGGCAATGAAATCATGTTTTGACTTGCTGCACATTTTATATGATAGCAAGTTACAAAGAAGTTCCTTTGAGAAGTATTAAATTATATGTGTTCAGGAGGGAATGGATTATATTGAGTTGTGCACTGTTACAGCAAGATTCCACAGTTCTTCTGTCAGTGAGCACAGGGCCTAAGGGTTAATTTGTGGCTTTGTGGCTTCAGCATAATATATATAGCATATAATCTCAAATATCTGCAGTGGCCGTAATTCCATTTCTGTAAAAGTAGATTTTGCTATTAATTATTTATACCCTAATGCATTTCTCCACTCCATGTATTAATTGTATGTTGGACTGTTTCCAGTCCTTTTTTATTACTGGAATATTTTCTGTTTTGTATAAAACATTTTCATGCATATACATAGTTACTTCAAAAAAGGGGGAAGCCCTTGTACCAGCCTGGGATTGGTAAGGAGCAGAAGAGATCAGCTTTTAGTATACACTGGTGATTGTGGGTTTGGAGTAAAAATTTGATACTGTGCTGTGATTACTGCTGCTGCTTCCTTGGACATTTTCACTTTTATGTGGCTCGTCAAGCACTGCTGTTCTTGACCTGAAACTATGGTCCCAGTTTGACACGTATTTTCAACTGCTGTACATGCCAGTTTATATTTTTTTTTTCTGTAAACAATGTGTAACAGATCATTTCAGTTTAATGTCTGATTTATATACCCAGTCTAGAAATGCTGCTAATCAAGTTGCATTGAAAAACTTGGTTTAAAATTTCTTCAATTTCTCTCTCTCTCTTTTTTTTTTAACATAATTGTATAATTTTCTCCACATATATTCAATTTCTGACTAAATGCTGCTTCCTTCAATAAACATTTTCTGGAGTAGAAAGAATTAATTGATTTCTCTGTAGGTTTTGAAGCTTTCACACAGCTTAATGAAATGATCAGCTATTTCCAAATGGGGTTTGTATCTAACATTTTGGGGACTATTTCTGTTTCTAAAATACTGGAGTCTAACTTCATTTTTACAGAGCTGATGAACTGAGAAGACTTTATTATAAATATATTTTTTGTTTGAAAAAATATCTGAGGATCTAATGAAAAGCAGAAGTGGTATTGAAGTGATTGTACTGTTTTCAACATGTCACACATTTTATTCAAATATATCTGCACATTGTGTGTGTTCTGATCTTCTTTCAGTAAGTGCTTTTCTTTTCTTTTCTTCAGTTTTCTGTGATATATAATGTCATTATATGTAAGTTCATTATTGAAAGTATCTAAAACAAATCTGATTACTTATGTAAATTATAATATATTGGAACTAGCTGACTGAACTTCAAGATGTAATATCAAATGAAACATAAGTTTTCATCCATGTAAACATTAAGTGCCCTATCACATTGCACTGTAGCACTTTTGTATTAGATAGAACCAAAAACAAATATATAATTAGGCATTTGTTTATTATGTAACTGTAAAGGTGTGTATGCAGCAGAATACCAGAAGCAAATTTTAAGAGATTCATTCTTGTTAGTCGTAAAGAAATTAACTGAAAGTTATGAATAA